CCAACCATGCAGAAGGGCCATGGCACAATCAGTAGGGAAGCTGCTTTTTGAAAGAGTGATTCCAACCTGGGGAGTCCCCTCTGAACTACACAGTGACAGGGGGACCCGTTTTACTGGACAAATTGTTAAGGAAATGTGTAAAAGTTGGCTGATTACACAGCATTGCCATTGTACCCATCACCCCCAGTCTTCTGGGTTAGTGGAAAGGACACATGGAGCAATTAAAGTAAAACTCAGGTGGCTAAAATTATGGACGCTTATTTCTTCTCTTGGCCTAAAGCTCTTCCACTGGTTCTCCTCAACCTCAGATCTTCTCTGACAAACATCATTTGTCTCCCTTTGAGACTGTTACAGGGAGACCGATGAGACTAAAGGAAAGACTATGATCCTATATTACTTAGGGAGATTTATTATTGTAAGGGTTTAATCAAAGTACTGACAAGTCACTCTATACTTGTTTCTGAAGCTTAATACAGTAATCTATCCTTAAAGGATGATCAGATGTCCCATGAGAGATTAACCAGGAGACTAAGTTGCTTCAGTTATGTCTGACTCTTTGCACCCCGTGGATTGTAGCCTGCTGGCTCCTCTCTCCATGGGATTCTCCAGGCAAGAATACTGGAGTGGGTTGCCATTCCCTCCTCCAGGGGATCTTCCTAACCCAGGGATCAAACCCGCATCTCTTATGTCTCCTGCATCGGCAGTCAGGTTCTTTACCACTAGTGGCACCTAGGAACCCCAATCCAGAGATTATGTATAGAAAAAAAGACATCATTTAAAGGACTCCCTCTAACCTAGATGGAAGGGCTCTTATCAGGTTCTTTTGACTAGCTCATGTGCAGTGAAATGGAAGGGAATTGACTCTTGGATTCATATTTTTCACCTAAAAAAGGCTCTTGCACCAGACTGGTCTATAGAGAGAACTGCTGGCTTCAAACTCACTTTAAAGTGATACTCTGATAATAGGAAAACACCAAAGCCAGGACAAGAAGACAGCATCAGAAGTAGACAGCTGATCCTAGATGTTGGACCTGACCCATATGATTGTTTGTAAGTTTTATTCTTAGTTTCTTGGACTCTTACACATAAATGTTTTTCTATCATGGGCACGATCTTATGCAAATTTTAGAAATCAATCAAATAGTTGGGTTGTGGTTAATTACCAGGATCCAGTACCTCTGGTTTACCTTAGTGGGTTTATTCCCTCCAAGGCTCTGATTGGTTTATGACTCTTAGAAAGTTTATTAAAGGAATTATAATTCTGTTTGGGCTACAGCTAATATTACTAGATGGGACCCACTCACTTGGCCAATCAAACATACTTATTTTAACCATAGCCATAAACATGAATTTTCTCTTAAGGGTTAGGTAAACTCTAGACTATTAGGAGGGACACTTCCTCAGTTATGGGATGGATTTATCTAGCTAACACCAGACTGTGGTCATCTAAGCCTAAAGGTTCCCCCCATGCTGGGAAAAATGTAATCATATCAAAGATAATCAACCTAACAGCACTAGAAAATTACGCTGGGTGTCATATGAAAACTGCCAGTGTACCATTCCTCTTAAAGACAATAACTGATATGGAACAGATTAGGTCAGAAGACCAGAAATATACTGGCTGGCACCTAATGGGACTCCATGGCTTTGTGGGTCCAATCTATGTCCTTAGCTTCTACCAGGCTGGCTAGAAGCATCTGTTTTAGGATTCCCTTGGGCTCAAGGCCACTTATGTACAAACTTAGATGTGACTCCAGCAAATTTACCATCAATATGAGCCCAATGGGCCAAGAGATCTATATTTCATGGGTATGACCACTTAGCAGCTCTTTTGGCAACTTCAGTAGGATTGGAAATTGTTATTTCTCACATTGAAGCCTGAACAAGATTCATTCAAGGCATTAAATAATTAATGCAACCAGTCTATTAGCCTACTAAATTCTGAGGTTTCTATGATAAGAAAAGCTGTCTTATAAAATCATACGGCCTTTAATATCCTTACAGCATCTCAAGGGGACTCCTGTGCTATAATTCAAACTGAGTGTTTTGTTTACATACCACATGAATCTTCTAATGGGTGATATTTTAGGAAGATGGTTTGGTTCTGAAAGCTCATGGCTTAAATCCCTATTAGTAACCTTAATCACATTATTAACAGTATTACTTATAACCTGTTTATTTTATGATTGTTGTCTTTTGTATTACATGATGTATAACCAGGCCTCCTGCCAAATTAGTGACAGCTAAACTTCTTGAAGAAACAGATCACATTTATAATATAGAGTAATTGTAATAGTGTGATTCTAGGTATGGTAATAGGCAACAAGGGAAATATCTCTGGATACTATTAGGTTAGAATATAAAGGATGCAGAGACTCTTTTATTATTTATCAATGGGCCTAATCTGGAAATTAACACTTGGATTGACATATCAACAAGGACCTTCACCTGATCTGGGATGAGCCTCCCAGCACTGGGAGTTCTTCAGGCCTTTTAGCCTGCCTGCTCCCTTTGTTACAAAATTTGTATATAGTCTGACTTCCCCTCCTGCCTCCTTGGAGCAGTTTTCTCAGAACTGCTGAGATGCTGTCTCCCAGACTCGGAGTCCTAAACATTGCACCAAATAAAATAACTCTCTACTTTTAGGTTATGACTGTATTTTGTAGTCGACACCAGGATACTAATAAAGAAGGTCAAACTACAGACATCTTAAAAATAAGGCTTACAAATGAGGCTTACAACATAAGCCTTGAGTTTTCTATGTTCAGCAGCCTATGGCATCATTGACTTAAAAATATGCACAACTTGAGAGTTGCAAGTTAAGTTTTATTTGGGGCAAAATGAGGACTGCAGCCTAGGAGGCAGTGACTCAGTTAGTTCTGAGAGACTGCTCCAAGGAAGCCAGAGGGGAAGTCAGGCTATATAAAGTTTTTAACAAAGGGAGTGGGCAGTCTGAACATCAAAGATCAGGTATCAGATTAGAAATTTAGCACTCTTTGTATGGGAAGATGTAAGCCTCTGGGCTCACTGAATTCATCCCCTTCATAAGCACTTCAGCTCCCTGGGGCCAATCTTGTTTCCTTGTTCCTCTTGCTGCCTGTATTTCCCCAGCTTCTCAGCAATCACTAGTGTGGGGGGTGGTGGGGGGACTTGGTGGGGGTGGCAGCATCTGCTTGATTGCAATTTAGGGAGCTCTTATTCACATATGGAGGCCAGAAATTACTGCCAGCTGCAACATTTCTTGTTTATTAATATGGCAGGAGACATTTTCATTTCACAACGGCTATAGCCATCTTACATGTGACCCTGCAGAGAAGATTCTTAAGGTGCATCACTTATTTTGGTTTGAGGGGCTGGGGGTCACGTCCAGGTGAAGGTTGGGGCTTGAATTCTGATGGGTCTGTGCCGGGGTCCAGCCCCGGCAGGATCCAGGGGAACCCTCAGGATGAACGACGTTGGTGAGAGAGAGACACGTAGGACCGGCCTTGATAGGGCCAAGTCTGCTAGGGAGAGAGAGAGAAAGAAAGAAAGAGACCAGACCAGGAATATGCAGCAGAGTCTGGCAGTTGCTTTATTTTTCACCATCGCCTTTATACCCTAAGTTGGTACATTTCTAAGGGGCAGATAAGCACACAGACTTGGTTTAACATTACATCAGCTTGTCCTTCAAGAAACCAGGTGTGCTCTGTATATTTTTGTTTATGAGAGTCTTTTCCCATAGATTTTTTGTACATTATCTTCTGGCCTTGAGCTTAGCAGAAAACAGAAAAGTGGCAGACTCATGATACAGCAGGTTGTATCAGAATAGAAATACAATCCTGTTAACATAAAAGACAGTCTTTTTGCAGAAGTTCTCAGCTAAATTTATCTAAAAAGTTTAGCACACAAAGACTCTGTGGCTCTGGTGAGGCAGCCTCTGTTTAGCACTCCTGGTTAAAATTAACAATTATCTTATTGTTTTTACACTAGGGCTAAACTCTTATTTTACTATATCTCCAACTATATTAACAATAGTTTCCACTGCACAACCTCAGCACATTAACATCAATCAAACGTTGATCTAATAACCACTTTTAAAACAATATTTTTTGTATTCTCTAATAGGGCTTCCTCACCCCCCAAAGGGCTCTGTGCCTATTAGGGCCTTTTTTATGGTTAACCACTTTTAAAACAATATTTTTTGTATTCTCTAATAGGGCTTCCTCACCCCCCAAAGGGCTCTGTGCCTATTAGGGCCTTTTTATGGTTAATCTCTATGTATAGTATCTTTTGGCTTTCAGGCCTATTGACAATTTATGGCTTGCACCTGGTGCAACTTTAAGCAACTTCAGTAGCCGACCCTGTCTTATTTGTGGTTAATCTATTTTCTTTCTATTAGGTGTCATATCCAAGGGAACTAGATAGGATTACATTTTTTACAGAACAGAAATGCAAAGGATTGCAAAAACAGCAGATATGGCACAAAACAGGCTCTTAGTCTAAAAGTTAATTACCTGTAAGAGGTTGCCAGCTAATCTCTCTCTCAACTATTTTCTATTAGGCACATTTGTGGCTATAATATTTGTGGAGCTTTTCTTACCCGGCAGAGGGACCTATGCTTAATAGTTTCTTTTGTTAGCGTACTGTGCTTAGAATGTTTAGAACAATCATGAGCATTTTGTACAATGAGAGCACATATTTATCAAACAAGCCAGAATGCCAGCAAAAGGGTTTGAATTGAAGCATTTCCTTCATCCCTGGCCCCTTCATAGGGTACCAGCGTCCAGGAGATTAACTAATTAGGGTTTTAAGTTGGTCTTTATTCAATGAAAGAGGAGCAGGAGAACTCTCGGCAGGCAAAACAAGAATCTGCAGCAGGGCAAATAAGAACAACAGCAGAAAAGTGGGGAGGATCCAGGGTGGGGTAGAGGCTGAGGCCAACCTGGAGGGTCCCTTATCCTAGACGGCCTTGCCTGCCCGGTATTTTCTTCATGACCTTGTCACGGGCGGGACCTCCCATAATGGCTCCCAACAAGTCTGGAAGTCTGGAGTCTCAAGGCTTCTTCTTCATCCTCAGATTGACCTACCTAGTGCTTGGATTGGCTGTGAGTGAAATCGTGAGAAAGGCTCCTGGTGACTGAGCTGTTGAAGATGGAGCCCCTGGTAAGTAGTGATGCCTCTTCCTGAAATTACACCCCAAGTGCCATTAGATGGACAAGGTTTCCAAACTGGCTTCTATGTTCTAAGCACAAGCAGGCAGGGTTCAGATATCTGAGCTCAAATTACCTTTGTCCAGGACTCTGGGATAGTTATCATGGGTCAGGATCTATCAATAATAAGAAACTAATCTCATTCTTTACAGTAAACAAATTTATGAGAGCTTGCACTAATCTTGTGTATTTACAGAAGAGATAATAAAATTTCTTTTTACTTATTCAACCCTTGTCCTGATTGGTGAAAGATTAATTTGTTGGCTGTTTTTGGATGTGAGGGGCTTAGGAGCAGTAATGGCAAGTAGTAGAGATCAGTGAGGAGAAGACATCACAAGCCCTGGAGAGTCAGAGGTTACAGCCCTGAGTGTAGCTAATCCAGTATAATACCACCTGATGTGAGGCTTTTCAGTGTTGACAGGAACAGAAGTGAGGTTTGGAATGAAAAGGGAATTATTTTACATTTTTTCAGTTTGTAACCTCTCATTACTCAGTATGTATGCACTACTGAAAGTTACTGAAAAAGTCAACAAACTATCATTAGCATTCTTTCCCCAAATCATGCATTTTCAGTTCAGTTTAGTCATGTCCAACTCTTGGACCCCATGGACTGCAGCACACCAGGCCTCCCTGTCCATCACCAACTCCTGGAGTTTACTCAAATATGTCCACTGAGTTGGTGATGCCATCCAACCATCTCATCCTCTGTCTTCCCCTTCTCCTCCTGACTTCAATCTTGCCCAGCATCAGGGGCTTTTCAAATGAGTCAGTTCTTTATATCAGGTGCCCAAAGTATTGGAGTTTCAACCTCATCATCAGTTCTTCCAATGAATATTCCGGGCTAATTTCCTTTAAGATGTACTGGCTAGTTCTCCTTGCAGTTCAAGGGACTCTCAAGAGTCTTCTCCAATACCACAGTTCAAAAGCATCAATTCTTCGGTGCTCAGCTTCCTTTATAGTCCAAATCTCACATACAAACTTGACTACTGGATAAACCATAGCTTTGACTACATAGACCTTNCTCTTGCTTTTTCTATGATCCAATGGATCTTGGAAATTTGATCTCTGGTTTCTCTGACTTTTCTAAATGCAGCTTGAACATCTGGAAATTCTTGGTTCACATACTGTTGAAGCTTAACTTGGAGAATTTTGAGCATTTCTTTGCTAACATGTGAGATGAGTGCAATTGTTCAGTAGTTTGAGCATTATTTGGGATTGCCTTTCTCAGGGATTGGAATGAAAACTTTTTCCAGTCCTGTGGCCACTGCTGAGTTTTCCAAATTTGCTGGCATATTGAGTGCAGCACTTTCACAGCCTCATCTTTCAGGATTTGAAATAGCTCAACTGGAATTCTATCACCTCCACTAGCTTTGTTCATAGTGATGCTTCCTAAGGCCCACTTGACTTCACATTCTAAGATGTCTGGCTTGTACTCATATATGAGAACTGGAACGAATGTGTTGTTGTTGTTGTTTAATTGCTCAGTTGTATCTGACTCTGCAACCCCATGGACTGTAGCCCACCAGGCTCATTTGTCCATGGGATTTCCCAGGCAAGGATATTGGAATGGATTGCCATTTCCTTCTCCAGAGATCTTCCTGACCCAGGGGTCATACCTGAGTCTTCTGCACTGGTAGACAGGTTCTTTACCACTGAGCCACCAGGGAAGTCTGGAAGGAATGTGTAGGGAGGAGTATTGTCTGCAAAGAAAAGAGAAAGACTAGAGTAGATAGAGTAAAACTAGGCTTTTATATAGATTTTTTTAAAAACTGAAGAAAACAAAGCCAATAACTAGGCTCCTTTCATCCTTCACTGTAGAGACAATGTTAGATTACAAGAGAAATAGGGATAACTAAGGTCAAGGTCCCTGAGAGTGCAGAGAGTGGGTGTCCTCCCACCACAGGAATAGCCAGTCTCAGTCTGTCCTTCACTCCAGCCTGAGAGTCCATGACTCATCCTGCTAAACCGTCTGACCTCAGAGTGTGTTCTGAACATCTGAGTCCCACAGTGCTGAGAGAGACAACATCTCCTGGTACCGAGTTCTATATGAACCCTGTTCAGTTCTGAGAACACTATAGACAACTCTTTATGATTCTCTGACATTTGCATGATTAGTCCGATAATGTTTTGTATTTAACATAGGTTTCCTAGGCCAGAAACAGTTCATACCATAATATATTGAGCGATTCAACACTCATAACAAGTTAGGAAAGCAGTTTCTAGTTGGAGAATCAAAAGTTCCCCAGGGACATAATTTACTTTCTGAGCCACCAGGGAAGCCCCTGGGGACATAATTTAAACCAATAGTCATGGTTTAAAAGTAGCCCATCATGGTTATTGTTTGTCCTGTTGGAAATCTGTCTAGTTAATAAAAAAGAGAAATTTAATTATACATTTTCAAGTGAATATTTCATAATCACCTGTCTAGAAGTCCCAATTACCAGGTTATTGAAAAGCTTCCAAATTATACTGAAACACATGTCATGTGATATTCCTGTAAAATAAGGATTCTTGAGTGTATAGGTATCCATGAAAGTACCTGAAAGGCAGACAACAGCTCAGTGCTACAGGGAACCAGGGGAACCTCACATGGAGCATGATCATCATCCACCCAGTCCTCATCCTTCCTCAGCTGAACCTTCCCACTCTGGACAGCAGTAGAGGCTGCTCTGTCTAAATCAGAATATCCCTGATGTTTTAGGAATTGGTGACATTTGAAGATGTAGCCATTGACTTCACCCAGGAAGAGTGGAGCCTGCTAGACAAGTCCCAGAAAAACCTGTTCAGAAATGTGATGATGGAAATTATCACACACCTGGTCTCTGTAGGTGAGTCTTTCAACACAGATGTACATGCCTCTGTGTCGATTGCATTCATTCATTCGCTAAACAAGGATTTAAAACAGCTTCCCTGTGTCCCACTGCAACTGCTTCCTGATTCTCTGATATTCCTAATGACCACTTAAAAGGAAGATGTTTCTTTATGTGGCACTTTTCATCACCACAGTGAAAGGTTTTATTGGCCAGGTTTCATCTTTGTTGCTACTCAGCTTCTAGACTCAGAACAGAACTGGGGATTCAATGGATATTTTAATGCATAAATAAAAGGATTAGATATTTTAAAAATAATTCTTCTGTTCCAATCACTTCTTGAAGGTGTAAGAGCAGAGCCCTGTATATGACATAATTTTGATTCTTCCTGTAAGATGGATCATTACTGGATCCTGTTTGACAGAAATATTCAGCCCACTGTAGAGTCTTTTGATCTTTCCCATTTGGAAAAGACTGAGGATTCTGTGACCTCTCTCTGAACTGGTGCATGGGCATCAGCCCTTTGACAGCCTTACTGTTCTTGCTGGTGCTCTGGATTTCCTCCTGGTCTGGTGAAGGACCTTTACTATTCTGTCTGGTGAAGATGTTGTTGCCTGCACTGACCTTCAGTTATCTCTTTATTTTCTTCAGTACCTTACCTTGGGCTTCAGCATAGCAAAGGATAATTAGGCCAGACTCAAAATCCATACTTTTTTTTAAAATCAAACAGGCTATCAGATCAGCAAATCAGATGTGATTTCCCAGCTGGAACAAGGAAAAGAGTTGTGGAGTGAAGCAGGAGGCTTCCAAGGTCAGAGACCAGGTGAGCATCAGAGGCCTGGGCTTCACTGCAAAGAGGTTCTATTCATTGAGTGACTAAGTCCCTGGAAGCAAAGCTGAAGGTTTTGAGACATGAGTGATCTATCCTCAATGAAAGTGAGGACATTGGGGCATATTCCTCACATTTTTACCATTCTGTGCACCTATGATCCCAATTCATGTGTCTTCCTGCCACTTTCTTTTCTTTAAATACTTGTGGACTTGCTGCACTTAAATTTACACATAGTGATTCCTGTCTTGATCCTCTCATTTAATGTTTTTTCCATCATTTCTGACCCACTGTCTCTTCCCCACATTACATTTTTATATTTTAATCCTGGTTTTGTCTAATAGACAATGACTTTTAAAGTATTTTACTACCTTGAGCATTTCTTTGTTATATACACAGTTTCTCCATGTGAGTGCTAATTTTTGAAACATACTCACATGGAGGACTTTGGTGTTTATCTATATTTCTATTTTCCTAATGCCATTCTAAAATCTATATTTTTTCCATTTCTTTAGGCAGTGAAAGACCCCTTAGACAACAAGAAATGATACTCATGCCAAGTGTCTACAGGAAGCACATATCCCCTACCATGGCAATAGTAAGTTTCATGGGTGGGAACCCCAGTCATCCAAATGAAAGACCCGGCAGTGAGATAAGTTGGTAATTGAGAACCATTGCCTATGTGTAATTTGAGATTGAGCTCTTTCTGAAAAAAATTTTGGGTAGTCTGAAATCAGTTAAGAATCATGAGCTCAAAACCACAACCAGTGAATTAAGGGGGAAAAGTCAGTTATACAAACATTGCTCACCTTCAAAACTAATCTGATATTTGAGGTAGGAAACTATAAAAGTGAATGTTTATGCCTGCAGGGGAGTAACACAAGACATGTTTACATCTAACACTGGAGACATTTTAACAGGAAATTTACCAGCTGATGCTCTACAGTGAACATGCAGGCAAATGAATGTCTGCCTGGTCTTGGGCAAACCAGTAACAGTCTCATATCTCCTTCTCCAAAGCAGGTTTCTCACTCGCAAGGGAATTCTGCTGGATGTACTGATCTGAGTGATGAATTTACTACTACATCTTCACCTCAATATTCAACAGTTCCCTTAAAAAGGAAACATAATGTCAGCAAACAGTGTGAAAAATCACTTAGTCAAGGTTCATTCCTTAATGGACAGGGTCACATTCACATTAGAGGTAAATCATGTCAATGTGCTCTGTGTGGAAAAGTCCATAGTAATTGCTTTAGACTCAGAGGACACAAGATAATTCACACTGGAGAGAAACCATTCAAATGTCAACACTGTGGGAAAGTCTTCAGTCAAAGATTCTCCTTGAAAGAGCATGAGAGAACTCATACAGGAGAGAAGCCCCATGAATGTCCTCTATGTGGGAAAGCCTTTAATAATTACTCTAGCATCAGCAGACACAAGAAGATTCACACTGGGGAGAAACCATTCAAATGTCAACTCTGTGGGAAAGTCTTCAATCAAAGTTGCTCCTTGAAAGATCATAAGAGAACTCATACAGGAGAGAAGCCCTATAAATGTCCTCTATGTGTAAAAGCCTTTAGTAGTTGCACTAGCCTCAGCAAACACAAGAGGATTCACACTGGAAAGAAACCATTTGAATGTCGACTGTGTGGAAAAATCATCAATGGAAGATTCTCCTTGAAAGAACATGAGAAAGCTCACAGAGGAGAGAATGGCTATGAATGTCATCAGTGTGGAAAAGTCTTTAGTCATTGCTCTAGGCTCATAAGACACAAGGTGATTCACACTGGAGAGAAACCATTCAAATGTCAACAGTGTGGGAAGGTTTTCAATCAAAATTCCTCCTTGAAACAACATGAGAAAAGTCACACAAAAGAGAAGACTTACGAATGTCATCAGTGTGGGAAAGTCTTTAGTAGATGTGCCAGCCTCAAGAGACACAGCATGATTCACACTGGAGAGAAACCATTCAAATGTCAACTGTGTGGGAAAGTCTTCAGTCGAAATTCCTCCTTGAAAGAACATGAGAGAACTCACACAGGAGAGAAGCCCTATGAGTGTCATCAGTGTGGGAAAGCCTTTTCTCAAAGAAGGGACCTTAATTCACACAGTAAAATTCACACTGGAGAGAAACCATATCTATGTCTTGAGTGTGGGAAGTTCTTCCGCTATAGTTCGGGGCTTTCTATGCACAAGAAAATCCACAGAGGAATGAAAGCACGTTTGCCTTGTGTGTAAGAAGGCCTTCAGTAAATGTAATAAACTGAGAGAACATAGAGAACCCACAGCAGAGAGCAGCCCTATGAATGTCAGCTCTGTGGAGAACACTTTGCTCCTGCTTTTTCCCTTAGACAACATAAGGGAACCCAGCACAGGAGAGAAAAGCAGAAGGGCCCTCCTCCATAGATGTTCTAACCTGAGGTGACTTAATCAACATGGAGGCTCCTACAGGCATCATACTCCATCCACAGTTCAGATCGGCATCACCTGTGGAAGTGGACCCATATGTGCACTGTCTATGCCTTTAGTCAATTGCCTGACCTCAGGTAACTTAGCAGAGCTCACTCTGTAAACACAATATGAATGTTTTCAGCAGCACCTTCCAACTTTATAGACCCTAGAGTATGTGAGGAGAGGATAAGCATCACCTAGTTCTTCTTTCACGATTAATTTTTCAGTATGAACCTACTCCATGTGGCCTGGAGAAAGGAAGAGATTCCAGGATTCTTGCTTGGAGAATTCCATGGACAGAGGAGCCTTGTGGGCTACAGTCCATGGGGTCACAAAGAGTTGGACATTACTGAGCAACTAATGCACGCACACACACACACACACACACACACACACACACACACACACTCCATGTGGAGAATCACTGGGACTGTAATCACTCTTAAATACTCAGGTGAGCCCCAGGCTTGATGTGCACAAGAAACTCTTTGAAAATAAAATAAACACTAAAACAAGACACTTTATTTATAAAACTTGAGAAATACCAAAGTATGTTGAGCAACATCAAAGCATACTTCTAAATAATTTATCCTCTAGAATTGATTTCATGGAAAGTTGAGAGATTGAAAGTTGATTTCATTGAAAGAATTCATGAGAATTCTTTCTCCATAGAGCAAGCCCACTGGTTTACCTGTGCTCAGACTATATAACACACCCTCAGTGTCATGAAGGAAGAGAAGTCTTCAGTGATCATTTATTTTTCAGTTAATGTGAAATTCTCACACTGAGGATTTAGCAGTCCTAAAAGCCACAGTGGAGCTACAGCTAGATTTCACATGAGAAAAAAATGATCATATATGGGAGGGGGAACCCCCAAAAGAAAACTGTAATACACAGTCAGGCTTCCCAAGTGGCTCAGCGGTAAAGAATCTGCCTGTGAATGCAGGAGACACAGGTTTGATACTGGTTCCAGGAAGAAACCCTGGAGAAGGAAATGGCAACCTGCTCCAGTATTCTTACCTGGAAAATCTCATGGACAGATGAGCCTGGTGGGCTAGTCTATGGCATCGCAGAGTCGTACACAACTTAGTAACTGAACAACAACACACAATCAGGCAGATTGTAATTTGGGGAAATAGTTCTTGATGGAAATGTGACATAAAATGAAGAGTGAAGCAATATGGAATACAGAGTTTTATAAGAAATTAATGTTTGTGTGTAGAATAATAATTGCAAATATTCAAACAATAAAGTCCATGGCTAAAGAAGCTCAGAGTTGCTGTTTGATTTCTTTGAGCCCCTGTAAGCAAGGGACACAGGTTTACACTCTGGGAAAGTGGGCAGAGACTCAGCCCCATTCTCTTGAGTCCCCTCTTTCTCCATAGCTCTTTGTACACAACTCAACTCCACTCATTCCAATGTCCTGCTATCCTCATGTACTCCATTCAGGCCCTGGTGGTGACACAGCTCTGATCTTCAGCTCCACTGGTCAGGTTTCTCAGAATGTCATGACCCTGCTCAGGCAAGCTCATGGGGGAGTCTCGGGGACATCTGGTCTCACATTATTTGAGCCCCTCAACCTATGTCTGCAGAGAGAAACCACCTGAGGCTTAAGAGACAGACATCTCTGCCCTCCCAGACCTCAGAAATCTCTTTGTTACTTTTCCCCCAAACCTCTGAACTGAGCCAAGTGGATGAAGAGTTCCTTCCATGATCATACTGTCGATCTTATTCAGCTGATTCCTGAATTATGCACCCAGCATTCTCACTAAACAGGAACCCAACCTTGTTACCACCACATAAGCGCATGGAATAAAGCTGCAGGAATATAAAATGCCCCAAACTATCAGCCTTAACACAAGTCAGTTGTGAAAATAATTAGTGCAATGTCTTTCTTCAAACAAAGAAATACTGTCACAAAGCAAATGCCCCCACTTGTCTTGCAGGACTTGGAAAGTTATCCTTTGATACACACCCACACTGAACTGAAATTTCCAGGGAGTCTTCCTGGATATCCACTGGGATGAGGTGTGTTCCTATCAAGATTCTCTTAATTTGTTTTCAGACACAGATGGAACAAGCTGACACATGACCTTAATTGGCCAGGAGAAATCTTAACAAGGTAGCAGGACCACAGAGCAGTAACAAAGTTAAGAAAGGGAAATCTCCCCACTGACCCTCAGCCACCTCTGAGGCTGCATCTCCTCCAGTGGAGGGTGTCCAGTGCCTACCATTCTGAGCATCTACTGACAGATGGGAGGTACCCAGCTGGATTCAGGTTGTTTGATTTTTTTTAAAATTTGTTTTGGTGTTCAGTGTATTCCCCAGAGAAACTGGACATAGACAAAATATGCATAAATGTGGCTTTATGCACTGAGGCATGGACGATTTAATTTTTAAAACTAATTATTTGACTTTTGGACTCCATGGGAGAAGGTGAGGGTGGAATGATCTGAGAGAATAGCATTGAAAATTGCATATTATCAAGTGTGAAACAGACCACCAGTCCAGGTTGGATGCATGAGACAAGTGCTCAGGGCTGGTGCACTGGGATGACCCAGAGGGATGGGATGGGGAGGGAGGTGGGAGGGGGGTTCAGGACGGAGAACACATGTAAATCCATGGCTGATTCATGTCAATGTATGGCAAAAACCACTACAATATTGTAAAGAAATTAGCCTCCAACTAATAAAAATAAAGGGAAAAAAACTAATTATTTTTCTAGGGTGTGATTGGGTTACAATATTACATGTTTTACTTGTATAGGATTATACTTCAGTTTTAGTATGCCACAGAACTGGTCAACACCAAGAAAGTAGAGGTTTTTCTTTTACCATCCTGTTGACCTATTTTGGGGCTTTCCTGGTGGCTCAGATGGTAAAAAATCCACCTGCAATGCAGAAGACATAGGTTTGATCCTTGGGTAGAGAAGATCCCTTGGAGGAGGGCATGGCAAACCACTGCTATATCCTTGCCTGGAGAATCCCATGGACAGAGGAGCCATCAGCCATCCCTCTGCTGCTACGTCTGCTATCAACTGCTCTGTTCTGTGAATATATGGGTTTATTTTTATGCCATTGACTGTCTTTAATATTTTTTACTTTTTGTGTTCTTTTTCTTTGTTTTTAGTGTTCCATGTATAAGTCGATTCACAAGGTATTTCTCTTCTAGATGTGTCTATAAGAACTGACAGGGTCAAAGGTTGATACATAACCTTGATTGGGTTAAGAAAAACCTCATTAAGGTCATGTGACCTCAGAGCAGAATCAAAGGCAGCAGGAAAGTGAAATTCCCCACTGATCCTCCTCAGCCACTTTCAAATGGACTCAAGTGTGTCCAGCATCTGCCATTCTGAGCATCTACTGACCAACAGGGGTTAGGGTTAGGGACCAGCCTAGCTGGAGTGCTGCAGAGTGGAGGATTTAAGGTTGTTTTATGTAAATTTGGAGTTCATTTGTCCATTTCGACATTATTTGATATACCTGCTTACTGCTGTTGAGTTGAATAAACTTAGTATTATATAAAAAATAAATTTGGCATTCAGCCTGTCCATCAGAGAAATGGGACAGTAGACCAGATACTATTATGTACTGGTGTGGTTTAAGCAATGGGCTGCTGATACTTTAAATTTTAATTTAATTAGTCTTTTCTAGGTTATCACTGGTCACAACATTAGATAAGTTTCACGTGTATAACAATATACTTCAGCTCCAGCATACCATAAAATTGCTTAGCACCAAAAACTTGGGTTTTTTTTGTTACCATTCTGTGGGCCAGTTTTACTCATTGGCTGTCCACTTGCTGCTACCCTCTGACATCCACTGCTCTGTTCTGTGAGAATATGTGTTTGTTTTTTGTATCATTTGCTTTCCTCATTTTTTTAAACTTATTTTCTTTTTAAATATATGTTTTGTGTTCCACATTTAAGTGAATTCATAAGCTATTTCTCTTCTAAATGTGTCTTCAAGATGTTGATAAATACAGGGTGATTGCTGTTGTCCAGTCACTAAGATGTGTGACTCTTTTCGACCTCCTAGACTATAGCTTGCTGCTGCTACTGCTAAGTCACTTCAGTCGTGTCCGACTCTGTGTGACCCCATAGATGTCAGCCCACCAGGCTCCCCCATCTCTGGGATTCTTCAGGCAAGAACACTGGAGTAGGTTGCCATTTCCTTCTCCAAGACTATAGCTTACCTAACCTTGATTGGTTAAGAAAACCTCATCAAAGTCATGTGAACTTAGGATAGTATAAAGTCAGCATGAAAGGGAAATTTCCTCACTGACTCTACTCAACCACCCTGGAAGGTGCATCTCACCTGGAGTGTCCAGCACTCATGATTCTGAGCATCTGCTGACAGACTAGAGGTTCATAGCAGACTAGAGCTTCACAGCTGTGTGGTTTAAATTTGGTGTTCAGCTAGTCCCTCAGGGAAATACGACAAGAGTAAAATTATATAGTGATGTGGCTTTAGACAGTGGAACTGATTCTTTAAATTCTTTCAACTTAGTTTTAAGTTTTTTAAACTTAGGTATCATTCCATTATAATATTAGTGAAGTTATACATGCACAGCCATACATTTCAGCTTCTATGAACCACACACCTCCTCAGCACCAACAATGCAGTTTTCCTCTGTTACTATTTGCTGCCCCATTTTGTCTGAGGCTTCTCTGATTTCCACTACTCGGGTCTGTGTATCTTTGTATTCGTTATCCTGTCAACATTTTTCTTCCTTAAAATTCTTTTTACTTGTTTTCCTTTTGTTTTTTGTGTTCCACACATGAGTGA